TGAGCTACATCAAGGCCAATCCAGGGGATTTACACTACTTCAAAGACATTCCCAACGATGGATGGGGCGAGCGGCATCAACTGAAGCTTCAACGAAGCCAGCGCAGCCTCGAGATCTTCTCCGACATAGCCTACGCTGCAGGCAATGGTTACCGCAGTATCCAAGGCATTGCGGTCTTCTCGGGAGGCAGCCCTGTTGGAGCCTTTGCCACGCATAGCACAGCGGAATCAGAACTGGTGGCCTACTGCGAAAGCCTGCTGATTGGACAGAAGCAGAGTGCCATGTGGGGGGAGCCGCTGAAGTCAAACCTCTTCAGCCGCGTCATCTACGGTGACAACCTGGCGGCGATTGGGCTGGCAAATGGCACTACGTGCTCTTCTTGGAGTGGACTGACCAAACAGCTCAACGGTCAGGCATTCTTCAGGTTTGTGGAGGACTTGGGCATGAAAAGATCCACCCCGGTGAAGCCTGATGTATCCCAAGCTGGCAACGAAAGAGCTCATGCTGGAGGAGGAGACGGTCAAAAGGCCATGAGGGCTATCATGGTGGGTAGCTTGCTGGTGTCTTCTGCGAAAGCGAGGGATGTGGAGGGCACTGAATCTAGCGAGCTGACACCTATTTTGGTGACTGGCGCGATTCTGATGATGCTGGGTGCAGTCTATGCTGGGCAACTTTTGTGCGAAGTCACTCAGTGCTGCCTGAAGAGACTCCGGATGTCAACAGAAGAAGAAGTGCGTCAAGAGCTGGCGGCTAGAAGAAATCATCGCACGAAGTGATCAAGAGGTGACAGTAGTGTCAGAGGCATCGGAGAAGGAGAACGAACCTGCAGATGAGCCCGAGGAGGAGTGCACTGGAGCACGGCATAGATGATGTGACGAGACGAAGGTCGTCATCTCACAAAAATCTCTGAGATTGACAAGGCATTCGGGCTCTAGCACCATGGCTGTGAGCGCTTCTTCAAATGGGAGCAGGACACAATCGGGCTCTAGCAGCGCAGCGGGCTCTCTACCACGGTGTATGCCTTCACGATCGGGCACTGCAGAGACCTCTTTGGGCACACCATTGCCTTTGACATCACGATCGGGCTCGCATGGAGCAGTGGTGGATGATGCTGCTGCTGGCCGATCTTCGCGACCTGATGCTGCTGCCGATCCAACGACATTGCCTATGACGGCACGCTAGCGCTTGCATGGAGCATCAGCGGCTGCTGGGAACAGCTCAGCCACTAGGGTTGTAGATCCTGGTATCACCAATCCCTGGAACCTGTTTTCAACATCAAAACAGGAACCGAGGCCTGACTTCGAGCGTGATGGCCGTGCTGTATAGAAATCAGAAGTCAAAAGGCCATGACAAATAGAATGCCTTGAGCCTAGTGTTTTGGAGGGCACAAATTGCGAAGAGTGCCACGGTTTTCAGACCTCCGAAAAGGAGGAGTCTGTTGCCACATTGAAATCTACAGGCATTTTATGTCTCGAGAGAAGGATAAAGGCCCGGGTGTTTTTCTAGACTGTAAAAGCTTCTGCGTGTAAAGGCTATTTTGTGTCACAAGAAGCCGTGTGTAAAAGGGTGTGAAAGCATTCCTCTGTAGCAGCATCGCTGTGTGAAGGCATCTGCGTGTAGAAGTACCCGAGCGTCTGTCTGTAAAAGCATCCCTGTGTAAAAACACTTGTGCGTGAAGGTATTAGCGTGTAAAAACAATTTGTGGAGACATGCATGTGTATGTGTAAACATCTGTGTAAAAACATGTCTTTGTGAAAGCACCTCTGTTTTGCTTTTAGAAACTCTAAGCTGCGTAGTATTTGCCGCACTTTGCAGCATTTTGCAGCTAGCACCTGTACACTGCCTGGTATGATGCAACATCAGTTCATTGCACGGAGCTGTGCCATCGGGCAATATTTCGCAGCAGTGCGAAGCTAACATCGGCAAATTGCATGATATTTGCAAGATTTGGAATCATATCTGACAACTGCGTTGTGATTTCACGGCGCTCTGAAGCAAAAAATCTGTACACTGCAGTATGCTTGCAGCATTTAGAACCAAAAACTATTACTCGCACAGTATGTGTGGCATACTGGGGCAAATTTTAATGCATCGCATAGTCTTTGCAATATGTTGCAATTATCACTGGTAAACCGCATGGCACGCGCAGCATTCTGAAGTTGACGCCTTTAAATTGGATGCTATTTTTGCGACTTTCTGAAGCTCAAACCTGCAAGTGGATGGTATTCGCAACATCTTGAAGTTATCACTTGCACATTGCACATAGTGGCATGGTGTTTGCAGCGTGTTGCGGCTAAAATCCGTAAACTGCACGGTCCTTGCCACCTTTTGAAACCAACATGCACGCAGCATTTTGGAGCTAGGCCTTCCTTCCCTCCCTCCCTCCCTCCTTTTTTCCCTTCCTCCTGTAGAGATTATCTCCTTCTTTCCTGTTGGTTTTTTATTCTAGTACCTTTTTCCTCTGAAAAATTCGCGCCAAGGTTTCGGTGCAAGTGTAGCAGCTACAGTGTAGCATGCAGCAGGTATGTCAACTCCTCTGGCGAGGTGAGCAGCCCACTGCCCTGGTTGCTGCGTGGCATGAAGGAATGTTCGCAGTTGCTTCGGTAGAAGCATCATACGCAGTCATTAAGTATGTTACTTCCTAACATAGGTCAACATCCATCCCTCCCCCCGCTTCAACCCAAACCTGCAAACAGGGTCGTTGTCATCGCTACCATCGTCGTCATCGTCATCGATATCATCGTCATCGTCATCGTCATCATCATCATCATCACCATCATCATCATCACCATCATCATCATCATCATCATCCATGCCACCAACTCCATCATCATCACCATCATCCTCTTCCTAATTATCACCGTCATCTTCAGCAATCATTCTGGTCAGAATGACGGCAACATGCAACCGTTGAAGACTACCTGCTGCATGGCGCGACCAATCGAGAAAACACACTCAAGATCTGAGCGACGCGCAGGGAAACACCACAGAGACACAACCAAGGACCACCAACACAACCGCCCCGACACCACCAACACGACGCCACCAAGATACGACCAAGAAACAGTGAACACCTTATGTCAGCATGGAAGCCGTTGAAACACCACCAAGACACCACCGAGGCACTGCCTCGACACCATGAAGGCAACGAGACACCATCAAAAGAGCACAACGCAATGCAGACACCTTTCAGACGCCACCGAGAGACTACCAAGATATCACAGAGACACCACCGAGACACTACAGAGACACCACCGAGACATCGCCAAGACATCAGCGACACACCACAAGAGACAACTCAGACACCACCAAGACAACCACCGAGACCAGCGACACCACCGAGACATCAGCGAGACACCGCCAAGAGACACCAGCGAACCACCAAGAGACAACCAAGACACCACCAAGACACCACCGAGACACCACCGACACACCAACTAGAGACACCAACTAGAAACAACCGAGACAACACTGAGAGACAACCGAGACACCACCAACACACCACCAGATAACATCGAGACACCACCGAGACATCACCGAGACACCACGGACACCGAGACACCATCGAGACACCACCGAGACCACTACCGAGACCACTACCGAGACACCACCGAGACACCACCGAGACACCGCCCAGGCCGGCAGCCGGGAACCCGATGGCGCCCATCCGCCTTTAGAGTTAACAACCCCAAGCTATCGCTATTGGGGAACAAGAGCCAATAGTCAGAATCCCAGGAAGACACGAAGGCAAATATCTATTTTATAAAAATTATATATATATATATATCCACACACATATACTACGCATGTGTATGTATGTATATATATATATATACACACACACGTACGTATGCATATGTATATATATATATACACATACGTATGCATAGGTATATACGGTATATATGACAAAAGCCAAGAAGTCAGCCAAAAGCCAAGAAGCTACGAAATCCGCAAGAGACACAAAAGCCAGCTGCAAACACCCTGCAATTGGGATTTGTTTGGCTCCAAAATCCAGCAAATAGCATGGAAACCAGACCGGAAAGCAAGCAAAACTCAAGAAATGCCAATCAAAAAAGTGAACCCTCTTTCATCCGTAAAAGACTAGCCTTTTCCGGCTTACACTTTCTTCACTCAAGGGCTTAGCGCAAGGGCTTAGCACAGCATGTGAAACACTGCGGGTGAAGGGTTCAAAAACCTGGGTCTCAGCTCCGAGCACAGGCCATGGGTCCAAGGGCAACGGGAAACGCCGTGTGGTTCAAGCTGAGTGGTTCAAGTCGAACCAAGCTGAGTTTCTGAATTGGTGGTGCAACGCAATACAGAGATTGACATGAAACTTAACGTGGCTCTCATAGCCCTCCCAACGTTTGTGTGATGAGATATCAGAATGGACGGACCATGCACATATAACCTGTCTGGCATAGAAGCATAAGAGTGTCATGTCGTGTGAGGAAAGCAAAGTCGCAAACCACTAGATTTTGGCCTTTCAATCATCCAAATTTTCAACATCGTCCATTGAAGTTGCAAACCTCCCAGATCATTGCCACAGTGATATGCCATCCATGCCAGACCCAGCTCCAATCCAAATATTGCAGTCAGAATCAAGGTAAATTCAAAAGGTCGTCACAGAGGAAGATAGAGAAAGAGGAAAAAAAACTTCTGCAGCTGTAAGAATATGTAAGAATACAATCGTAACATACCAAAACCGTCTTGATTGAATGGACAGAGACTGCGCCACATCCTATAGTACTTCATCATGTAGGACATTGCCATTGACCTCGGTGCATCTCAGGTTTCCATGAAAATACTTGTGTTTGAAATTAAGTGCTCCATTTGGGGCGTGGTGCGCATTGGACTGCCAGCGCTGGCTTTCAATTCCGATTCAAACATTTCAAATGATTTGAGTTCACCGCCCTTTGTTTGTTAACAAAATGACATCATGTGACACCGAGACAGTGGAATACAACCTCTGTGTGCAACTCGAATCGACCAACTCTATTTCAGATCCCAAGTGCAGGGCACACTACGAGAAACACCCTGCTGGCAATGGATGAGCACAGATCCGTCCTGCCACGGCTCCCAACAGAGTGCTTGGAACACCGGAAGTCTGGGAAACCTCGCCATGTTTTTTGCTCTTCCAAGTATTTTCTTGTCAAACAGCGACCAAATTGGATTTGCTGGAGGAATCGGGGGAATTACAGCAAATCCTATCCACCTGGATGCCCACACCTCACGAATACGGGCTTTTTCCAAGAAGGCCCAACTTGCCTTGACCAGCTCAGCTCGGCTGATTTCGACCACATTTCAAGCTATAAAACAAAATCTCAGCACCCTATCCCTCAATAAACCCCCCTACCAGAAAGCAACTCCTCTTCCTATTGCAGATGTTCAACAATCAGCTGTAGCTGAAGTTCCGTGGGTTAGGTCTCTCCCAGTGGTGTCCGTTGCAATATGATATCAAATTTCCATTACGGCAAAATCCGAACCAATCCCACTCCCTAATCTAAAGGCGAAAGCATCTGGTCAGCAATTGCAATACTCTCTAGTGACAACCACACCTCGAAACGTGACTGCAAGGTTTCTGTTGCGTTGTCACCCATGGAGACTCTGCAGTATTCCATCCGCATGGTGGCGTCCTGCCACGATCTAGCTTTCAGGGGTTGGACAGTTCGGGATGAGACTGCAATTCTTCCTGACAGAAAGCAGTTGCTTTGGTGCTAGGATCTGCTCAGTAGGGATGATTGAAGAACAAAGAATCCATTCACTAAATCCTGTGCATCTGTGGCTACCGAGTACTGTTGCCAGTTGCCACCGTGTATGTTCTTTTGAACCTGTTCCTTTGTGTTGCACTGATAATTTCCTTCCCCTGCTATGGACCACGACATCACAACCAACGTTGCTTCCCCTGGCCCCTGACTGTCTTTTTCATAGAAGTTTGCCACGCCACCGTTGGAACGAACAGGTGTGCAGTTAAGAACATACCTCCAGTGATGCAAAACTTCAATCAGCATTTGATCTGGTCTTTCAAAGCCGTTTGGTAGGTCCCCACAGCGATTCAAGATTCAGATAGCGTCTTTTAAGGGACATGTCCAGATCGTTTGGGCCTCAAACATCTCTCTGTCTAGTATCTGCAAAAGAAATGCGGTGATTGACAGAATCTTCCATCTCTGCCAATCGCACAGAATCCCGCCAAGCCCACAGAGGTGCACCGAATCTTAGCTTTCTCCAATGCTTCTCTATCTCTAGCATCCTTGGAGGAGAAGGGCTTGCAGGTCCTCCCCGATCAAGATAATGGAATAATCTTGAATCGTACCTTATTGTACCTTATTGGTAAACTTGAATGCGCCCTCTCTTGTGAATGCAAGGTCGAGGCATTCACCCTAGACTAGACTAGTCGTTCCCAAGCCGCTGCTTTCAAGTGGCGTCCGCGCCACCAATCCAAATCCAGTCTAAGTCCTCGAACTGCCAGACGTAACCCGTTGCAGATTTTGGAACTCAGCGCTGGCACAAATGGTCTTTAAGGGATCGTTGCGCCAGAAATATAGGCTAGAGTAGCTACGCTTTCCAATGACAAAGGAGTGCCGTTTCCTCATCCTTTACTTGGCCCATCTTTTCGTCTTTGACGACTTTGGCCTTTCTCTCCTTTGGGAATATTCAACGTGCTCGGAATGGGAGAGTTGAAAGTGCATCTAGAGAATCCTTAGGGCAAGCTGACTTCTGTCTCGCAGTCTCACCCTTCACTCTCAATTCCTTGAGTGCCAGCAACTTGCCCCTAAACTGTATATACAGTGTGGGACTTATCCTTTGAGATGACAAAAAAATGTTGTTGATACATGGTTGTTTGACGCCAGCACCTTTTTCTCCTTCTTTTTCTTTTTCCCATCTTCACCTGTGCACGGTGAGACCACTGGATATAAGCATGTGTTGTTCCTCAAGGATCTGTAAAGACTTTTCTACCAAAATATCCATGGCTTTTAGGGAAGACGCAGAGCCGACAGGCAAAATTGCTGATAAGAACAAAAGTGCAAATGTTCACAAACTCCGTCTTCCTGGCTGCTAAAGCCAAAAGAATATGAACAAATTTTTAAATGTTAAAAGAACATCTGCAAAGTTCTCATTTGCGCAACCCCGGCATTGACCCGACTGGCCTTCCTTTGCATCACCCTCCTTGTCTTCCTCCTGATTATCTTCGCCTGGAAAGTTCGAGTCAGCGATCAATCCATTACTCTGAAAATCAGACCGAACGCCACAGCCTAGTTCCACGACTCGATCTAGCACAATGTTCTCGTCATTCCCATTGGCAAAATCCAATTTCGCAAAAGTGAATTTGCATAGAGGAACCTTCTTCTACCTCATTTTCAGCAATTCCTGCAGGGACAAGTATGTCAAGGTGTACGGTACACTGTATATTCCAATATTTTGCGCAATACCTAGTGGGAAAGGGCGCCATGGTCACAACAAGAGCACAATCACAACCTTATGTTTATCTATGGCTAAGAACCCAGAGTATGATTTCTCAATGTTTGCTGGTGATGTCCATGACACCATGGACCATGACACTTTAATTTCCAGCGACGCTGGCAAACTCTGGATCAAATGGGTCCAAAACCTTGTTTGCGCACGGAACCGTTTGATTCTTCCCGGTACATGTACGACTGCCGCCAAGTCCTAGAATTTTCGGTTCTGCTAGTTCTTGCCCGGACACCTGCTCACATCAGTGCGCAGTTGCGCAACTGTGAAATACACCCATCCTTTTACTAGAACATCGACCCCAAACAACAAGAGTTCAAGTCCTTGGTTTGTCAGTAATGAAATTTTGGTGGAATTTTACAATAAATCAATACTAACAAATTTTCCTACCACCCTCCGCCCTGCCAAATGGAGAGTCAAACAGGGTGGAATCAACCGTGAGACACACGTTCATGTACATATGCGATTACAAAATTAGACGGGAAACAAAATTATCACATGATAAATCCGAGGTACGGACACAAAGTGAGAAACAAGTTCAATTCGGGACAAGATCCCACAGGAAAACACAAAGTAGAGCACAATTTGAGAAAGATGGGCTGACCAAAAAGTTGATATTACTGTTCACACAGGAAGTCCACAGGTATGAAACCTTTAGAATTTCTTCGCTTCACACAGAAAACACAGGTACGACGCATTTAGGGTTTCTTTGCTTCACACAGCAAGTACACAGGTACGACGCCTTTAGGGTTTCTTCGCTTCACACAGGAAGTACACAGGTACAAAGCCTTTAGGATTTCTTTCCTCCGGACAAAAAGTACACAGGTACGACACCTCTAGGGTTTCTGTGCTCCACACAGGAAGTACTGCAAAGAGCGAAGCGCGCAAACGATAGGCACTTTTTTGATCCAATCGCTCAAGGCCTGCGGTAATCGAAAGTGAGACCTCTGCTAAGTGCCACAAATGTCCCATGCGGCCATGCTCCCATGACTGATGTCCTCGTGACCAATTGGCTATTTGGAAACTTGACGTTCCTCAAAGTTTTTGTTGGTTGATGAGGTCTCAGTCCACTTGTCCTGGGCTTTCCGGTGGCTTTTCGAAATGGATCAGGCTGATAAGTCTTTGAAGGCTTCTAGCACGTTCGTCATCTCCTTCAGACACAGCTTCATCCCTTCCAGCTATCAGATGTTGCATCATTGCATCATCGTCCATGTCAGGGTTGCTTGCCCTCAAAACATCCGACATTGAAAGTTCATTCTGATAATCATCAATTGGCTCGTTCTCGGAGTATTCATCTTCATCAGGACTGGAAGTTGGTGTACCAGCCAGGTTGTATCTATGAAATCTCCTTCTCAGATTTGAAGCTCTTGCTTCTGAACCCATACTTGATGTTGGAAGGTCATTGCCGATGACTATCCTTCTCACTCCTCTATAGATTGCATAAGCTCTCGCATGCAGTGCATCCAAAGAACGATAGTTCATGCCATGCACTGTCTCGATCATGTCGTGGAGAGGTCTTTCATTTGTTGCTATTCCATCCACGGCATATGTGAGGTTGTGCTGAAAATCACCCATCGCATGATTGAGATAAACACGAACACCTTCAAACCGACTCTCAAGTCGGATTCTGTTGTTCCGATCCAGTTCTGTAACCACTTCAGTCAAGGTTTTCATTTCAGCGGCAACTTGTTGGAGAATGCCCCCGCTGCTCATGTTGAAAAGCCTGCATCATTGCCAGAAACATCTTATCAACACAACCCTTCGTGAAATAGCACCCGATGCAAGTAGGAATAATGTACATTGCAAACTCCCAGCCCTTGGTTTGAACTCCTCCAAATAGGTCACCACACGCAAAAGCCAGAATTGTACAAAACCACATTGCAAATGAGATAAAGCACCATTGCTCGAATTTCTCGAGCACTCGCAGCGTCACCACTTTCAACACCCGCTTGTGCACCCGGTAGCTCAGCAAAATGCCAGCACACAAAATCGCGGCCGTCACTGCCACAATCATTAACCAGTTGGTTGGGAATACGCGATGCTCTTCACCTGCACTTCCTTCAACCTCTGTGAAACAAGTTGCTATCGTGGTCACCAAAAGTGTGCTTGAGGCCATTCCACTGCGGCTTTTGGAATAATTGCTGTTGACTGCTGCTTGGCTTTCGGCTCTTCTCGAAGTCTCTCACGCTTGATGACAACTCGGGGATCAGGACCGAGCATCCAGGGAACTTTCTGAACATAGCCAAGTCCTTTCTTTCCCAAAGTCTTTGTTAAACAATCCGCCAGTTGTCGCTCTGTCGAAACACAGTGAATCCCTATGTTCTCCTGCAGTGATTGTCTGATGATAGCTGCTTCCAAACTCAGTCTCTTGTCCGAGAGCAAAGTCCGCTCGGGATGCAAGCAATCATATAGACTTCTGCAGTCTGTGACACAAACACCAGGAATTGTATGGAGCTTGTTGGCATACTCCTTAGGAACTTGTTGCGGCTGCAACATTTCACACAACGTCCCACGCAGAAAATTCAATGAATCCAAATCTTCGGAACATGAATAAGCTTCAGCTGGGAGAGTGCTTCGCACTACACGTTGTATTTTTCCAGAGTGCCATTGTAACATGTGCATGCGATGCAGCTCGGTCTTGTCATGTAGCATCTCTTTGTTTGCAAGTGCTATCCAATGGCCTTTCTGAGGCTTATGGCCTTCAGTATTTGCAAAGCTTGCATCATGCACCGCAATCACTTCTATCTCACCAATTTTGAATTGAGTCCAGGACGAAAAACCATCTTGCGACCCTTGCGCTCCTGTTGGATCACACGACCCAGCTTTGCAGCTTCGGCTAAATCACCAATTGTCGGACCTTTCAGCTGACTAGCCAACTGGCTAACTGCAAATTGTAAATCGTATCCAGCTATTCGTGCATTCCATTGGAGTTGACCCAAAATTCCTCTGAAAGAACGAAGTTCATCTGGTGAAAGAGCAGGGTCTCTTGGTTTCAGTTTTTCACGACTCACTCGATATGGTGACATGAAGTTCACGTAGTCATCCACATCGATTTCAATGGTGTGGTCGGCTAATTGACGACAGCTCCTTCCACAAAATTTCACACGCTCATCCACGCATGCTTGCCAGCTTCCCCATTCCACAGAAGATCTCAAATCAGCTTCAAGCTTCTCGCATTCTTCAGGGAATGTTTCAGCATCCATCGCCAGCAAAACATCATCCACGTGTAAAGCCATGATTGCACGAGGAACCTTGTCACGAAAAATAAAACCTGCATTTTCGAAAGTCAGAGGTTCCCATCCGAGTTGCATGGGGATGGCACGGAAAGATTGATACCATTGCCTTGCAGCATCATTCACACCATAGATGCTCTTCTTTAGCTTCAGCAAAGAACCAGGCTCAATGTTCTGAGTGACTGCTTTGCCCAAGTTGGAAGGCAATTCAAAGTACAGCTCTCTCTCTCTCTCTATCTTCAAACCTTGAAGAAAAGCACCTCTAACATCTGCCGCTGTCAGTTTCATGCCACGGCTTGCAGCAATTGAACAAATAAGGTTCACCAGCAACTGAGAACATGTAGGGCTGTCTCTTCGGAGATGTTCATCAAATTGTTCTTGGAAACCACGCCCCACAATGCGACATTCCATTTCCAGCTTGCCATCTTCTGAATCCATCTTTGTCCAAACGCAACGTGAGCTAATCACCTTGTCCTTCTCCTTTCTGCGGATCTCCCCGGCTTGAGATGGAGGAATCACTTCTATGGCTTCAAACTTCAAACTTGT